CGCCATTACAGGTATGTGGAGTTGCTCTCATCTTCACTCTGATATTCGTCTACACGGTTCTCCTCCAGCATTTTGATGAGCGTTGACAGTGTGTTGTTTGGGTCCAGCAGAGTCACTAGAGGGACATTCACACCTCTATCACTGAAGATAAGATTCTGCAGAGTCATGGCTAACATTGAGTCAATGCCTAAATCGAAAAGGTGAACATCATCATTCAGCTCATCCACCTCAACACCAGTTGTTTCACTAATCAAGAACCTCACATAATCATGTGGTGAGGATGATGTCATGGGTTGCTCAGGTCTAGACATGTTTGCTCCAGTTTTATTCATGGCTTCCTCTCCAATTTTAAACAACCGCATCTTTAATGACTTGTTCTGACTGAATATGTTATTCCAGTTGTTTTTAAAACTGAATTTGCATATGACCTGTTGAGGTTTGTTGATCAAGAGGCACTGCTCAAGACTTTCATGGATTTCTGGAATCTCCAAAAGCATGATTCCCTTTGCCTCCAGAAATCTTTGAAAATTGACTTTATTCAACAGAAGACCAAGATTCAAAGCCCCCCAATTAATGGACTGTCCACAAAGCCCAATGTTTCTGCGGTACTGACAGAAAGTGTCCATGAATGTATTAGCCGCAGCATAATTAGTTTGTGAGGCATTGCCAATGAAGGCAGAGATGGAGGAATAGCACACAAAGTAATCCATATTGCATTGTATGGTAGCACGGTGAAGGTTAATCACTCCATTTACTTTTGGCCTCATAACTTTCTCATAAAGAGATTTGTCAAGATGTTCAATCAGCCCATCATGCAGGACAACTGCACTGTGAAATACCCCTTTGATGGGACTCGATGGAAAAAGTTTTCCAATATTAACAATTGTCTGGTCCACTTGCTCAGATACAGAAACATCACATGGCAGAGACTTAATGGTAGAACCCCAGCGGCTACTGACCTGACATATCTCTTGTTGCATCTGAGGGTTTGGATTACTCCTAGACAGAATGACAATGTTCCCTCCTCCTTTTTGAGCAATGAACTTTACTGTCTCAAATCCCAACCCTGTTAGACCACCTGTGACAATATAGAC